CTGATGAAAAGGCAGCAACACTGGTTGCCTCTCCATCTCTTTTGGCAACGAGAGTAAGCATTTTGCGGTAAAGAACAAGCTGAAGAATAAGCTGCTCCTAGTCTCAAAGGAACGCAATAGATAATCTCAAGAAATCTTATCACGCACTTTAAAGAGAGAATTTCTAGAGTTACACAAGAGATGTAATTTTACTACACCGATTTAAGTTAAAGTTCTCAAATATGATTGTGGAGTATGTCTTAAAGTGGAATTAATGATGTAAACATGGTAACCAAGAAACCCTAAAAGTGGGTCTTGTGAAAGAGATGATGAATAGTACCTAGGGCTAGGGAGTAATTTGGCTTATTGGTTATAAATACCTCGTGTGGGTGATAAAAAGAACTCTATTATGGCGGTAATCAGAATCATGGGAATTGGATGGCCTTGAGCCTATTGCGACCCCTAAATGAGTTATGATGAAATTGTTTTAATACTAATTGACGGAATCCGATATCAATATTATAGATTGATAAAACTTGCGCATGTTGAGCTTGTTGGACTTATTTGGAAGGCAAAGACGAGGTAAGTTAAGATGTACCTTCCCTTAAGAATTATTTGATGAATTCCATGAATTCTAACATTCGCTAAAGTTATTTTAAATGTTGGTTTGGGTTCGTTGGAGCGATCGAAGCTTACCATTCATGCTTTAACATTATGAGACGTCTTATGCTATCTTATAGTATCGTATATGCATAAATTGTATTGTTGGTCCTTTATTGACTTTTATTGAATGATATCACTTTTAACCATATTTTTTCTACTTGATCTAAATCAAATAGTTATCGCAAATATTGAAACTCATTATCTTGTGATTTTACAGCTTATCGAGATGTTTTTTAAAAAAAAAAACCGTTTTGTCAAAGTCAAAGAAACTTTAACAAAGTATAGAATTGAGCTATGGACCATGAGAGCCAATTATCGAAAATGTTTATAGGACCTATGGGTTATACAATTTAAAGAAAATATTGTTTGGGAGGACCATAGTTATTATTGCCTATAGACTACACATTTTAGTGTTTAATATATATTGTCCAATGAGACACCTTACTGTGCTAGCACTATCGTCAAAATCCCATAGCAATGGGTGAGACGGCCTCGTGACCAGGCGATGGTTACTATCGTCAAAATTCCTTAGCTATGGGTGAGACGGCCTCGTGACCGGGCGATGGTTACTATCATCAAAAGCCCATAGCAATGGGAGAGGCGGTCTCGTGACCAGGCGATGGTTACTATCATCAAAAGCCCATAGCAATGGGAGAGGCGGTCTCGTGACCAGGCGATGGTTACTATCGTCAATATCCTTCGGGTGAGATGCCCAAGTTGATCGGGGGATGGTCAACATACAGATATCGATTATTGTTATAGTTATAACTATTGGAACTCTATTGAGAGATTTACATCCTATTGGAAGATTACATCATATTAAAAGATTTACATCCTATTGAAAGATTACAACCCGTTGAAAGAATTATAGCCTATTGAATGATCTACATTCTATTCAAAGGTTTACAACCTATTGAAAGAGTGACATTTTATTAAATATTTCTTTTCATTATTGATTTTGTGAAAAGTCATACTTATTATATTTCATGTATTTTACTTATCCCTAAAGTATCGTTCCAACCTTATCGGAAGGAGTCAATGATACTTATGGGGTACGATTTTTATGAAATTGTGCTCAGCCTCCCATGTGGGGCAACTTATTTGATGTTTTAAATATTGTGACGTTAGAGTTGACAGCACATGCTAGGCGTTTTCTCCATTCTCTGCTTTACTTGGTAAGCCCCGCTTATTTTGTCAGTGGGTCTATGTCTAGAGATTTTATTATGTTCAGTTATTCTATAAAGGTTCCAGTGACACTGTGGGGAAGTCTAGTCATGTGGATGATATTTATACTTTTTTTAAAACTCGCGTGTTTATTCCGCACCTATGTATCTTGGCCAAAGGCCTACTTAGATTTTTTTTAAAAAGACATTTAATTAAATAATTCAAGGCGGTATTTTAAATGTTTAAATGATCTTCAAATCTTGGAATAATCATGAATGGGTAGATATGTTCAAGTGGTTAGCTCGGTGTAAGTTGTAGGCATTGGGTGCCGGTTGCGCTAGTCTTTTTGGGGCGTGACAGTTTGTTGATAATTTATTCTTTTATTAAAATGACTAAAATATCCTTAAAAACTTTACAAAAGATTATAAATTAAAAAGTTTTCTTGTAAAGAAAAAGATGAACAATGAATATGGAATGAAAAGAAAGTTAGAAAATTTATTTTGAAAAAAATATTTTGTGAATTTTAAAGTATTATTAAGGATAAACGAGTAAAAACCTTGGTCAAACTAAACGTGCTTATAAGTTAAAAAATCATAAGTTGAGGGTAACCAACTTATGACTTATGTCTAATTTCACTTTGGGTATTTACCAAAAACGTAAATAAGCCAAAAGGTGCTTATAAACTAATTTGACCAACTTATAAGCTTAGCCAACACACCTTCTATATGGTTCATAATTTCATATAACTAACCCTTATTCATTTTGCATCATGCAGTTGATTGATTTGAATTTGTTAAGTTTAGTTTGTCGAGTTACAACAATAATCCTGTTAAACAACATCTCTTTAATTGGATTTCCCAACATGATGAGAATAAATAACGATCCAAAAATGATAGTACTCCACATATGTTCGACGACACCATACCATCCAAAGAGTAATTTACAGGTAGATGTTTGTTACTACACCTTATTTACCTATCTATATATTCAAGGGAAGATAGCAGTTTTAGTCTTTAGGTTGTTGCCTAAGCCTGATTTTAGTCCTTGTATTAGTGGACCAAGCACATTTAATGTTTAATTGGATAAAGTGTGCAATTTTTGTCCTTTAACCTAACTTGAAGTTAACATTGTTAACTTTTGATTCTTTTCTTAACTACTTCAATATACTAGTTAGAGTTTAAACCCCATTTGCATCTGCATGTCGCTAACGCAGAAGACATGAAATCTTGGCAAACAAAACAGTTAAGCAAACATAAGAGTTAAAAAACAGGAACTGAAGAACACAGATCTACCCCATATGGTGCACCTAGTATTGAAAGAAAGAAAGCCAATTTTACAGTAACATTGCCAATAAAATCACTTAAGCTGCACTGCTAGTAAGCTAATCTTTATTTAAAAAATGTTCTTATTACTATGCCATGTCCAGTGGAAGTCGGTAAAGAAGTCACTCGTGTATTAGCGAAAACTGATATATTGCCAAGTTAAATAAAAGGAATTTATACCCTTTCAAGAATAGTTCCTCCTTATTCTTGGTCAAGGGTGCATCGCAATTATGAACCCAGTTATGTACAAAGCAAAAAGAGCCAAGAACTCGCTCGTGCAAACATTTCAATACTAAAACTGCTATTTTCCCTATAGTCAAATATATAATTTTCTTCTAAGACGTGATGTGACACCTCTTTAAGATCATAGTATTAGCCTTTTCTTCTTTTTTTGTTACTTTTTTTTATCTCATTTGTCACTCTAATTTTGTACTTATCTTAGGAAGAGATAAAATCAGCCTATTTTGAGAAGTATTTTTTCTCAAAAGTATTTTTTTCAAAAATATTTTTGGTGAGAAACAGTTTGTGTTTGGCTAATCAAATTAAAAAAATACTTCAGAGCAGGAATTAGTGTATGCCCAAACTTTTAAAAAGTCCTTGTATATGTATTTTTCTCAAAAGTACTTTTCAAAAAGAGTTAATACCCTAAAACCTCCTTAAATTATCACGTTTTTGTGAGTTCCCTACTTAAACTATTCAGTGTCCTCAAAATTCTCCTGAACTATATTGTCCTTCATATTTAAACCCCCCTCGTTACATTCTTAGAATTAATCAGTCATCCGAGAGTACTACATCCTGAATAAACTACAAAAAAAAACAAAAAAACTAGTACAAAACATAAGATAATATAGTTAGACGCACCTCTAAGAATTTAATATGGAATTTTAATATATAGGACAATATAGTTCAGGGGGGTATTGGGGATACCAGATAGTTTAACAAAGTAACTAACAAAAAAATTATAGTTTAGTGGTTTTTTAGACCGAGTTAAATAGCCATGTGTAGGGGTGTACAAAGCAAACCGATAAACCGCACCAAACCGAGTCAAACCGGAAACAAAACCCGACAAGTGGTTTGGTATGTAAAAAAAATAACCCGACTATAATAGGTTTGGTTTGACATTAACTAAAATAAGTCAACCCGAGACCAAACCAGTCTGATATTTATGTATGTAGTTTTTAAATTTATTTTATACAAAATAAATATTTACTATAATACAATTTATATATATTTCTTTTAATTTATCATTATTTATTATTATTAACATTATATTTGGGCTTACAATTTTAGCCCACTCTATATACGTCTAGCAAGCCAAATAAAGCCCAAAAGGAATAACAAAAGTTAACAAATGTAAAAGAAAAAAGACCACTTCATAACTCATAAGGCATCGACTTTACCGCCAAAAGTATAATACTTTCCCCCTAAATCAAAGACCCCTAACTTATTTCATTTATTGCTCATTTTCTACTCTAAGGTTTGTTCTATGTCTAAGTTTTACCCTATATCATAATCTTTTCTTCTAAATATTTTTTAGTATTAATTTTTTGAACTTATTATCTTCAGAACCAATTACACACTCTAGTTTTTACTCATTTTTTGGGGAATTTTGCGACTTTTTCTGGTTCTGGGGATGAAAGAAAATTTCAGAAATATAATATTTTGCTTTGAAAGTGGCTCTCTTTCACTTAGTTGTGCTCTTTTACTTAGTTTTATATCAGAAAGCTCATAAAAATTGTTCTGAGATTACAATTTTATTTGCATGTACATGATACCTTTTTTCGGATGGAAACTATAACTTCTGGACCAGATGTGGAGGTGATTGTAAACAACCCTCTGACTATGCCAGCAGTAGCTCAACTACAAGGTCAAGACGCTCCTCATCGACGCACTCCTCCTAAAAAGCAAAAACGAACAACTCGTCCAGTACCTTCTAAATATGGAAATACTGGCAGAGAGACGTCTGAGATTTGGAATCATTTCTTCAAGTTTACTGCTAAAGGAGGTAAATGTAGGGCTTTGCTTCTGAGAGCAATAATGGGACTACTGCGTTATGGACATATTTAAATATGACATGTCACAAGTCCCCCTTTAGAATCGTTGATAAGAGGCAATCAACATTAAAACCTATCAAAGAAGGGTGGCTAGAAGGAGGTTCGGGTTCCACTGAGAGGGTGGTGTATAATGTGGAGGATATTAGGAGAGCTATTGCCGAATTTGTAATCATTGATGATCAACCGTTTAGAGTTGTTAAGGGAGTAGGATTCAAGAAATTAATGGCAAAAGCCTTACCTAATTTTGAATTACCTTCTCGTGTAACTGTTGCTAGACACTGTTTAAAGATTTATTAAGAAAAAAAAGAAAAACTCAAAAATCTTATCAAAAACCAGCGTGTATGTATTACTAGTGATACATGGACATCACTATAAAATTTAACTTATATGGTTGTCACTGCACATTGGATTGATGAACAATGTAATATATAAAAGAAAATTCTAAACTTCTTTCAAACACCGGATCACAAAGGTGAAACTATTGCTAAGGGAATTGAAGAATGCTTATTAGGTTGGGGTATTGAGAACTTGTTTACAATGACCCTCGATAATGCAACTGCTAATGATGCTGCCATTAAGCATTTGAAGGCGCACATTGATTATTGGTGCGCATTGATGATTGGAAATGGGTAATACTTGAAAATGATTAGTCAACTCTATTCATGATGCACCATCTGTTTGAGAATTGGTATGAAAACTTATTTGATCATTCTTGATACTGATTTTATCTTTGGCATATTTTTCAAATCTAATGCTTTCTATGAGAATACTGATTTTATCTTTGGCAGATATAATATATGAAAGTGTATTTTCAGACCAGTATGCTTCGGAAAATCTTTTTGTGAAATTTAAATTTTCAGTAGATGTAGACTTAATATATCTTTTGTTCGTCGAGCAGTTTGATATCACTTTTTCAACTATTCGATGTTCACTGCTCAATCTTGATGCAAAGGATATTAGTGGATATCCTTTGCATTAGTCCGCTGATATATATAGAGTTACACCTAAAAGGCTAAAACCCCTTCATTCTATCTTCAGTACTAGCTTTCTCCCACTATTTGAATATAAAGGATTATGCATTCATGAATGATCTGCGATATTCCTCTACTTATTAGTTCATATGATTCTGCTATGGACTTTCGCCTTGATTTTGAGAGGGTATTTTATGCACTATTCCGCTGTATTTATGTATATCTTGTCAATATTCACATATGTTAGTCTTTTATAAAACTTTAATTTATTTTTCAGAAGATTTAAGGGTGAATTTTGGAAATTTGGTGAGATCCATGAAGTTTCAAGAATCAAAGACTAAATTCTTTGGTCTTTTGAGCTGCTGCTATTGTGTTATTAAGTTTGAACACCTTTTGGGAAGATATTAGTGAAGATATCTTGTGTTTAGTTTATTTTGTGATTTGTAACAAGGATATCTATAGCTCAAGATTAACTGGAGATCATGTTTAGATTGAATTAGCCTAGAATTTTCATATTTAGATTGAGATAGCTACTGTAATAGTATAGATGATCTTGTTACTTCATATGTGGATTCTTATTTTTGTTATATTCTATTGTCTCTGATGTTATTGTAAGATGCTTCACAACGAACCACAAAAAAATCCGAGAAATTCGAGATTGAAAAATACGACTATTGTTGGTTTGGTTTGGTATATAGATTTAAAAATCCGAGATAATTGGTTTGGTTTGGTAAATGAAAAATCCGAATCAACCCGGACTATGTACACCCCTAGCCAAGTGTAGTGTCACATGACACGTTTTTAGATGATTAGGAGCGTGACTAGACATACCACTAAGAATACAACGAGGGATTTTTAATATGAAGAATAATATAGTTCAGAGGATTTTGGGGGCGTCGAAAAGTTTAAGTACGAAACTGACAAAAATGTAATAGTTTAGGGGGGTTTAGGGTATTAACTCTTTCAAAAAAGTATTTCTAGGAAGAAGCTACCTTTTATGCTTCTTCAAAGCTGCTTTTGCTTCTAGTCAAAAGTATTTTTTTTCTTCTAAAATTTTGTCAAACACTTCAGATTTAAAAAATAATAATATTTTTTTAGAAAAAAAAAAAATGCTTTTGGCCTTGAAAAAGTTTGGCCAAACATGTATTAGTTTGGTATCTCTCATGACTAGGAGTGACAAACGGGCGTGTCGGTCGGATATGGTTCGGGTCAAAAACGTGTAATGAAAAAACGGATAAATTATCCGACCCGCCCCATATTTAATACGGATAAAAAATGGGTTAACCGACGGATAATATGGATAACCATATTATCCATGACTTTTTGAATATGATCACTTTTAGGATAATTCCTAATCTCCCAAACTTGAGCAACCCCCAATTTGAGGCTTTACAAATATAAAAGTTAAACTCATTGGTTATCCATTTTCTAAATGGATAATATGTTTCTTATCCATATTTGATCCGTTTTTAAAAAGTTCATTATCCAACTCATTTTTTAGTGGATAATATGGGTGGTTAATTATTTTCTTTTAACTATTTTGCCACCACTACTCATGACGGATGCCATTTAATGATTCTCAAGATAGATAAAAAGGGCCCGAGGGAGTATTTTATTGTCGATGTATGGCAATAGGCTATTCGTTCACAGGCTTTATATTGAAGAATATGACGGAAAACTGAAAATGGGGAGAAAATACAACTAGATTTTTGCAAGCATATCTCACGGGCAGACCATACTATTCCTGTTTAATCATGGGCAGCGCCACTTTATGCTAAAGGAGTCCCCCTTACATTTGTTAGCTAAGATCAAAATTTTATTTTATATACGTAAATATAAATATTAAATGTTGATTCCCCTTATTTTCTTCGTATATTTACTTTTTTATATTTTTACTTCCCTATTCCTGGCTCTACCACGGATCATGGGGAGAACTAATTGCCATTACACAATGCAACTTTCTGAGCAAGGATGCCCCCAGTGGCGGATCCAAGATTTTATCCAAGGGGGTTCAATAAATATAATAACATTAGGGGAGATAGTAGTCAATAATAGAAATTACCGAGTAACAGAAAGTGAATTTTGAATATATATGTCTCAACTTTTAATCCGTTATAAGACTATAATTTTTTTTTAAAAGTGTTCAGTTTTACTCAAAAGATAAGTTAATACAATAACAATCTAATAATTTTGAAACACTATAAATATAAATAAAGTAAGAATTAAAATTAACAGACAATTTACTTGAACAATAAAGAAATAAACACACAGTTTAATAAAACAGTAAATAAATTTAAAAAGAACTAATTGCAAAAAAAAGAAGAAGAGAAAAAACGCAACTTTACATAAAAGTGCAAAATTAAGATATTAGAAACTAAATATACAGATTTCACTAAAATAAAACTTTTAAAAGCTAAGTATTATTTACAAATAATAAATAATTATAACAACTAAAAACAACTTTTATATGACAAATGGCAAATAATAAACCTCAAAAGGAAAAATAACCTAACAATTTTGACATACATATTAGTAGATGGTACTAATTCGAACTCATGTCGTGTGCCATAAATTGACCCTGCTTGACCATTGAACTGCTATTACTTTGCTGGACTAAGTGAGTTAATTTTATCTACATATCACTTTGTGAATATAATTTACACATATAATTAACAAAATAATTCGGCGAAGCGGGTTCAATTGAACCCACTTGATATAACGTGGGTCCGCCCCAAATTTCCCCTCGAACTCATCAAAATTCCTCCATGATCTCATCCCATATATATAAGGATTGATAATGTAAAAGAAAAAAGTAATTTTGAGTAAAGTTATAAGTTTATAAACTAAAAGGGAAGTTTAGATCTGTGTAATTTTACTTCAATTTCAGTAGCAAAGTTATCTTTTCATCATTTGATGCGTACACTTGTTCCTTCCATGTCTTTAAATTCCTTAACTAAACAATAACCCTAAACATTAAAAAGGCTTCAAAATAAATAAGAACAGAGAAACGAAAANAAATGAAAACTGCAAATTAATGTGGGAATTCTACAGTAAAAGAGGTGCGGAAGAAAAATGTCTACAATAAATCTCTTTATATAGGAGGGGAATTGGGCTATATGGTCAAAAGTTGTTACACACTTTACTAAAATATAATCTGATTTACTTGGTATAATCTGATTTAATCCACAAAAGATCTGATTTACTAACAATTTTAATGCAAATGTCAAAATTCTATTTTTGTGGGATTGTGGTCCTTGTCCATGGATAATAATTGTACTATTTGAATTTTTTTACTGAATTCACGTAATCTATAGATAACGTCTAGATCCATCCCTGACACTAGGACCATGGGAGAAGATGACCCAATTAATATAGAGTAAATAAAATCTGGAGACATGTCACTAAAATAGAGAATATGATATGAAAGTTCTTTATTATTTCAGGAGCTCTTTTTGTGGATGGATGTGCGGGCACACTAGGTTGGATAAGGTTAGGAATGAGGATATTCGAGCGAAGGTGGGCATGACCTCCATGAAGGACAAAATACGAGAAGCGAAGCTTAGATGGTTTAGGCATGTGAAAAGGAGAAGCCTAAATGCCCCAACTAGGAGGTGTGAACGATTAACTTTGGCGGGTTCGAGAAGAGGAAGAGAGCGGCCTAAGAAGTATTAGAGAGAGGTGATCAGGCAGGACATGGCGTTATTTCAGCTCACTGAGGACGTGGCCCTTGATAGGAGGGTGTGGAGGTCGGAATTAGGGTAGAAGGGTGCGAGATAGTCGGGCTTTTTTCTGATCCTAACTGGGTTGTTTAGGGCTAGTCTAGTAGTATCTTGTTGTTGTTCCTAGATTGCTAGTATTACGGCTACTTCTTACTATCTTCCGCTTCAGTTTTCTAGTATCCTATTGTGGTTACTGCTTGTTGCTATTGCTAGTGAATTCCTTCTCCTTGTACACTACATCCGCCACGAATAATAAACCCGAATCGTTCCACGATTTTCATATACCCATAAAGTATAATACATTATGCATCTTTCCCAGTACTAACCTCGAAGCCAGCCCTCTTTAAGTGATATCTGATCCACAAAAATGCCTTAGACAAAACTAACATAATACATGACCATTCAACCTGATCATCGATATCAGACTCCCCCACTTGACTCGAAGCCATAGAACATAACATCTGATAACCCACGATATTCTTAGTCCATAACTGCCATAATTTCGCATTATAATTCAACTACATCCTTCATACGCTCATGTAGCTCAAATCATAAAATACCTCAAATCATCTGCTAAGTGCATATCCATCCTCGCAATAATCGTTCAAACTTTCTCAAGCGATCCGAACTCAAATTGCATCACATAAACATTTTGTTGGTTGAAAGGAAACACTTCACAGAAACATCATAGGGATCATTTAACCTCAAAAATATTCTGTAGGAGATAATCCACCTGCTTAGCCTCAAACTGGTATTTCTCTATGCCCTAACATGCTCACAACTACTATGCAATCGCTAAATCCTCCCGAGTCGGTACTCGTCAACAAGACATAAGAATCTACTTCATTACACAAATGAACAACATGAGAGATCCCTCAACACACCTATAACTCGAGACTGTACAATACATTAAGACAGAAATTAAGGATCCATAGTCCTTTTGCATCCCAAGCAAAATTCTTCTCGTCACATCCAAACCATCTAAGCACATTTCACAGTCACATAATACTAATAATATAGCTATCTAACCACTCACTGGGCCATCAATACCACTCCTAGGGACACTACCGGACATATAAGTCCAAATGTATATATCCACGCAACTGAAACTACCGAGCCCAAGCTGCAATCTGAACTTGGCCTCAAGTCCTTCAGACTGGCCTACCTCCACAATCACAAAGAGCACATCTCGCACCACATCCATGACATCACAAGTCGTGGACACACAGCTGATACCGAGTGACCAACATAACATATGGGTGGATGGAAGGAATTCAAAGGGATACACTTCAAGCTGAATCAATACCACACGATAAGGAAAGAAAGATTAAAAATTTTTCTACATGCCCCGTAGCCTCTCGAAGATAAGTATGGATGTCATCATACTGATCTGTAAGACACTTGCTCATGACTCGTAGAACCTAAGAACCTAGAGCTCGGATAACAACTTATCACGACCTAAATTTTACCTGGTCGTGATGGCACCTAACTTAACCCTCTAGGTAAGCCAAACAAAAGCCAACACAACTCAAATAAGAATAATAAGAAATCAATAGGTGAAATAACTGAATTTTGTATATAATGACTCAAGGATTTGGTAGTACAATACACGAGCCACTAAGACTTAGATTTACAAAAATAGTACGAAAATAAATATGACATCTGTTTGGAATATAAATAAACAAAATAAAAATCCAACATTACCAAGGATAAGTGGTAGCTATATCTGGAAAGCAGGTACATCTTCAATGCCAGCTCCCGCCATACTCAGCAACATCAGCTCCAAGATCTGCACGCAAGGTGTATAAGTATAGTATGAGTACAACTGATCTCATATACTCAACA